AAGTTCTCCTTCTGTCGTTGCTCTCCACGTAAAAGATAGCTGAGGTTCTCATGTTCAGCTTGATGTTCCAGAGTCCACTTGATGATGGGGAAAATTCTGGGTTTGGGATGTGCCCAGCACATTGGCCACTTAGACCAGGGCAGAGAAGGGTTGAGTATTTGGGGGCTAGCCTGGGTCAATAATGCAGTGTTCAGAAGCCAACATTGGAGACACTGTAAGATTGTTATCTGAACAGAATAAAATAAAGCACCTTCTGGTTTGTCTTAAACCGTTTGGGTATGGAGGGCATATTTGTGAGAACTTTAATACTAATATTAGAGACTGAACATAGGGTCATGTCTCAGATTTCATTTTTAAAATAAGTCTCACTACATTTTTTTATTTATTAATTTGAGCAAGAGAGGAAAGGGAGAGAGAGGTGGGGTCAGACATTGATTTATTGTTCCACTTACTCATGCATCCACTGGTTGTTTCTTTCTTTTCTTTTCTTATCCTCATCCGAAGACATTTTTCCATTTTTTTGTTCAGATAGAGTGGGAGGGGGAGAGAGAGAGAGAGAGAAACATCGATGTGAAAGGGACACATCGAGTGGTTGCCACCCACACGACCCAACCAGGGCCGGGGACAAACTGCAACCAAGGTACATGCCCTTAGCAGGAACCGAACCCGGGTCTCTCTGGACCACAGGCCGACGCTTTAACCGCTGAGCCAAACTGGCCAGGGCCACTGGTTGTTTCTTGTTTGTACCCTGACAGGGACTGAACCCACAACCTTGGCATATCAAGATGGTGCTCTAACCAACTGAGCTACCCAGCCAGAGCAATAGATTTTTATTTTTTTTAGTAATCTGCTTTTATCTCTGCGATGAGGCTACACAAGTTCCTTCTTCCAACTTCCACATGTCCACCCCAAATTTGAGACATTGTGCTGCTGGCTTTTGGCTAAGCTAGGATGTTCCCACTGGAGGCTTCTTACTCCCCAACTAAAGTGTTCTACTCTTGCTTTCCTGCTCAAGCTTCTTCCCAACTGTCATCTCTTAGTCCAGGAAGAACAGCCACCTCCTTTATATACCAATATGGGTGTAGAATTTGCTTCTGCCATATGCCCCATTTTTTGAGGCACATAGGGAAAGTTCAAACCATTCTTTGAAATCTGTACTGGCAGGTTTAGCTCAGCGGTTAGAGCACTGGCCTGTGGACCACAGAGTCCTGGGTTCAGTTCCCGCTCAGGGCATGTATCTTGGTTGCAGTTTGTCCCTGGCCGCGACTGGGGCCGTGTGGGTGGCAACTCTTTGATGTGTCTCTCTCACCTCAATGTCTCTCTCTCTCTCTCTTCCTCCCTCTCCCACTCTATCTGAAGCACAAAAATGTCCTCAGGTGAGGATAAAAATAAAAAAAACACTACTGTACTCACATGAAGAATGAAAGGCAAACTCTACCCTCTTCCTACCCCACTGAACAACAGAAACACATCTTGTGCACATGGGGCAGTGGTGTACAAGGGAACAAACAGGGAAAAAGGAATAAGGCTAGAGGTAGAAGGCTGCCTTATTCATATGAACAACCTCCCCAGGATATGTTCCTTGATAAGTAATTAATTTCTCTTTAACCTCATCTAGTCTTCATTTTATATTTAAAAAATGTTTTTACTGATTTTTTAGAGAAAGGGAGATAGAAATATCAACGTGAGGGAGAAACATCGATTGGCTGCCTCCTGCATGTCCCCTACTGGGGATCAATCCTGCAACCCAGGCACGTACCCTGACTGGAAATCAAACCACGACCTCTCAGTCCACGGGACGATACTCAATCCTTTGAGCCACACCAGCCAGGTTGTTTTATTTATTTTTCTTTTTCTTTTCACCCCCAGCCTTGTAAATTCCTAAGTGTCTCCATCAGTATTACATCAGTTTAGTGGAACATCTGGAGGAAGCTAGATGTTTCCTGAGAACCAAGGGCAAAGTAGAATGAAAAAAAAAAAAAAAAAGCCCCAGAATTGTAGTTGAAGAGCCGCCTCTATTAAAACAGGCCAGGTTATACTGCAGAAACACACAGCACACATCTCAGTGGTTAAACACTAAAGTTTATTTCTTGACTCCTCAAAGTCCATTATTGGTCTGGGGGACTCATTAGAACAGCTGACCCATCATGTATGGGACTAAGCATCTAGACTGGTCTGATTTCATGGCTCCTCTCTCTATGTATTTCCATGATTGAGGCAGGAAGAAAGAGCACTACAATCTTGCACCAACAAATAAATGCTTTAGCCCAGAAGTGAGGCTTTTGCTAACAACCCACTGAACAAAATGACCTGATGACCTTGTCTAACTAACTACAAGGAGTAGAAAAGCATAATCATTCTCCATTTTATTGTTCAATAGAATACAAGCTCCAAGAAGGCATGCATTTTTTTCTCTTTTGTTCACTACTATATCCTTGGTCTAGAATAGTGCCTAGGCGCATAATAGGCCATCATTAAATTAAGTGCATGAATGAATGTACTGCCAATAAGAAATCCACATGGGGGGAGAGAAGAGATAAACCAAAGAACTTATATGCATAACTAATAGACATAGAAAACAATGCTGGCGGGGTGGGGGGTGGGATCAGGAGGAAGTTAAGGAAAAGGAGAAACATCTGTAACAGAAATAAATTATGTATCTTGGAAGAATTCCACGTGTATCTTGGGAGATGAGACAGAGTCCCAGGGGTCTAAGGCTGAGGGTGTTGGATAAGAGCTACTCAGACCAGAGCTTCAAAGCTGGGTGTGCTTAAGAATAGTTGGTGTAGTTCAACTTGGAAAAGAAACTAACTCCCACTGAAGGAGCCAGACCAAACCTCAGATGATTTACACCAAAAAAACACTGAAGCCATGAACCAAATCAATTCAGCATAACCACCACCACCAGTGCTCAGCTCCTGAAAGAAACTGCAAGAGCCACAAATGCATCTGCTCCTTAAATGTATTTCAGTCCAACCAACATATCTGAGGAGGAAGAAAAAGGGAAAGAAATGCACATTGATTGAGCATCTACTGTTGGCCAGGCTGGTAGGTGCTCTTCTTTCATCAATCCCTGTAATCCCCAGATCAACTCTGAGGTGAGTGTTTTCTAGGAAATCGAAGACTTAAAGTGTTTCAGTAACCAATCAAGAAACAGGAATGTTTTATAAACTAGAAATAGATACATCATCTAGGCTGGCTCTGCAGAGATAACACACAAAATCCTGATAAGCCTGTCTTTAGGCCTGACTGAAGAAGCTAAATGACAACCAAAAGACCCACTATCTATGAGGTTCTGAATAAGTCCCTATGTCTTTTTGTGCCTTAACTTCCTCATTTATAAAATAATAGATTTGGAACAGATAATTTAATCCCTTTCCTGATACTACCTAAAAGCTCTACCAAGAACACATCTGAGTCAAAGGTAAAAACAGATAAAGGGTGAATTATAAGAATACTCACAGCATAAAGATTTCAGCAGTCTATCAAATATCACTTAAGACTACTGCTAAATGCTGAAGAAAACTGATATAGGTAGACCCTACCTAATAGCTTACAGTGTACGACAACAAATATGGATGTAGATAACTCACTTTTGCTAACCACTCTCCATCAGTTCCCAAAACATTCCTTTTGGAAACCTGTCTCCTGCTGTATGGATTCGTAGATCACCATGCACAGTAAACCACAGGATCCTGCCTGTAGCACACACTCCAGTTCCCAGACACACAAATCTCTCCTGATTCTTAGTAACAAAAGCCAAATGAAAAAGCAAACAAAATCCTGAGAAGTTAATTCTGGACTCCATTACATTTCTTTTAGGCCTCAGGAAAGTGCTAATTTTTATGGCTATTTTATCCTATTGACATTATGAGGAAACAGTCTAATTTCTATTATTGCAGAAAATTCTTTACATCTAATATGTTATTCCATGGCTAAAAATTCCAACCCGTTTTCATATAATCTCATTAGAATGTTTTTCTTTTTACAAACACCAAATGAGAGACATAAGATAGTGCATTATTAGTTATCTGGCAGATTCCTTAGTGGTGAAGTAAACATGATTTCATCAAAGTAAATTTTGTGCTAATATGCCTCAAGAGCTGCCCTGGCCGGTTTGGCTCAGCAGTTAGAGCGTTGGTCCGCGGACCAGAGAGTCCCGGGTTCAGTTCCCGCTAAGGGCATGTACCTCAGTTGCAGTTTGTCCCCGGTCCTGGTTGAGGTCATGTGGGTGGCAACCGCTCGGGTGTCTCTCTCACATCGATGTTTCTCTCTCTTTCTTCCTCTTTCCCTCCCATTCTATCTGAAGATAAATGCAAAAATGTCCTCGGGTGAAGGTAAAAAAAAAAGAGAGAACTAAAGTTGCTAAAAAGCTCAAGAAAAAAACTCACAATTAGGTTGTTAAAAAACTTTACATTAGACTTTGTTTCTGCCCCATAAGACTACTGAAATTGTTAAGCCTGCTACCTTGAAAACAATAATATACAATTGAACGAGCATATTTTTGCTTTTTGTTTTGGAAGACCACGCTACAAATGTTTCTATCACATGTATTTGAGTGACTGGGGTTACCCTGATGGTTTGGCTCAGCAGTTAGAGCCACCAGCCATGGACGGAAGAGTCAAGGGTTCGATTCTGGGTCAAGGGCCTGTATCTGGGTTGCAGGTTCAATCCCTAGCCCTGGTCAGGGTTGTGCGGGAGGCAGCCAACTGATGTCCCTCTTCTCTCTCTCCCTCCCTCGCACTCTATCTAAACAAACAAACAAACAAAAAATCAATGGAAAAATATACTCGGGTGAGGACTAAAAAAATAAAGAGTGGCTGGGGGGAGCAATGAAAAACTAACACTATTTCTTTTTTTTATCCTCACCTGAGGATATTTTTCCATTGACTTTCAGACAGAGTGGGAGAAAGGATGAGAGAGAGAAACATCAATGTAAGAGACACATAGATCCTGACCAGGGCTGGGGATCAAACTGCAACCCAGGTACATGTCCTTGACTGAAATCAAACCCTCAACTATTTGGTCCATGGGCCAATGCTCTAATTGCTAAGCCAAACTGGCCAAGGCAAAACAAAACAAAACCCCAAACCCAACATTATTTACTTCTGTGACCACAGAAGACCTGTTTGATTAATGGCTTCATTTGCTATTTGAAGCTGAATTTGATTATTTTGGGAGGTAAAACCCTAAAGCAGCTTTTTCCACTTTTTGAATGTTCCTAAACACAGATCTTGCTAAGGAATTCCCTACAGGTTATAAGTAAAAACAGTAAGCAGCACAACTTTAATGCACCCCCCTGCAGAGTTAAATTTGATTCCTTTCTTTACAATATTCCACTGATAAAAATTCATGCTTCATAATTTTGTATTTTTTCATGAACTTTAGTGTCAAACTCTACTTGGTGAATTTCTTCAGACTGAAGACACTGGACAAGCTTCCCTTCACTGGTGGAGTTTCTGATGCCTAAGAAGGCTTGATCTCCTGCTGAAGTTTCTTCTGCATACGTTACAGGAATAAGGCTGCTCACCTGTGTGGGTTCTCCTATGTTTAATAAGGTGAGAGTTTTGGCTGAATTTTTTTCCACATTCATGACACGTAAAGGGCTTCTCTCCAGTGTGAGTTCTTTGATGTGTGTGGAGATTTGTATTTTGACTGAAGCTTTTCCCACACCATGAGCATTTATATGGTTTTATTCCTTGGTGTGTTGTTAAGTGCTTATTAAGATCTGAACTCCATCTAAATCTCTTATCACACTGTGGACATTTATATGGTTTCTCTTCAGTGTGAATTCTTTGGTGCTTAATAAGATCAGAGCTAACTCTGAAGCTTTTCCCACATTCGTGGCATTTAAAAGGCTTCTCTCCTGCACGTTCTTTCTTGTGACGATCCATAAGTTTCAGCAGCTCTTGTTTCCAGGTTGAAAGTTTCTTTCTTTTCTTCACTGGAAAATCTTGGTGCCATTTCCCCACCCTGTGCATATCACCATGATTTTCTTTGACTGTGGTTTTCTGGGGAACTTTCACTCTGGACTTTTTTGATATTATGTCTCCAGGTGCTTGTAATTCTAAGCCAGAAAGACATATAGGCTGATGATTTTCAGTGTCATTTTTGAGCTTTAACCCTGTTGGAATTAATATGACAATCAGCCAACTGAATGGCAGAGCGAGAAAACCACAGGAATGGAGAGAAAAAAAAATCAAAGATCAATGAATCTGTAATAAACAGATAAGTAGAATCTTAAAACGTTAAGGCCTTGCAAAGATTCCTATTAAAGCACATTTCTCCTCTTCCCATAGTGTATTTACCTATAGGCAGCTCTCCAGGACTGTCCATGAGCTCTGTGGATTCTTGAACCCATGGATCTTTCCCTTGTTCCAGATAGGAGATCACTTTAGGTTTGGGGAGCACAAATATGGCTGTGAAACAGAAAAACTGAGGTCAAGAACTGGTAACAATGGTTCATTAATTCCAGTAAAAGTAAAGAACACTTAAAAGTTGTTATCCCGAAATGGTTAAATGATTAGATTCTCGTGTCAGGTATGTTTTATACTACACTCTATCTGTAGGTTGATATGCGAAGTACACCCTGAGAAATAAACCTAGCTTGAGCGATGGAAAGGATATAGGTCATAGATATCTTGTGTACGTTCCCTGTCTTCTGACACTAATAACTGAACACCTGACCAAGTTGGAATAAAACTCCAGAGGTTTCAGAGTCCTATGAACTCTTTAAAACTCTGAATAAGACCAGGTCTAGCAGAGCCAAAGTAAAGGTCAGTAGGTTGGGAATCACATGCACAAGTGATTCCTGTCATAATTATAGTAACCTTTTATTTTGTTCTTGAGCACCAGAAACTACTAGGAAAGATTTCTATAATTCCTATAGCTCACTGGTTCATATCCAGTTGGAAAAACAGATCAGCATCATTTAGGGGACTTTTTCTAAATACAAATTTCCAAGTATGGTAAGTATTCTTTATTCAATCTTTCAACAAATATGTATTAACTGGCTATGACATATCAGACACTTTCCAGTGAAATAGGAATACAGTGGTGAAAAAGCCTAAAACTCCTAATCTCATAGAACTTAACTTCTAGTGGGAGACTGAAACAATAAAATATCAATAAACAGACAAACAAAATATCAAGAAGTGATCAAAGTTTTTTAAAAAACTTAAGAGGGTAACCAGCCAGTGTGGCTCAGTGGATTGAGCACCATCCCATGGACCGAGAGGTCCCAATTAGATTCCTGGTCAGTGCACATGCCCGGGTTTCGGGGGTCAATTCCCAGTGGGGGGTGTGCAGGAGGCAGCCAATCAATGTTTCTGTCTCACATCAATATTTCTCTCTCTCTCTCTAAAAAAAGTAATAAAAACAAACAAACAAACTGAAGAGGGTACAAGAGCATTTAAAATTCTGCTTCTGGCCCTGGCCAGTTTGGCTCAGCAGTTAAAGTGTTAGTCGTGGACCAAAGAGTCATGGGTTCGATTCCCAGTCAACGGTCTGTACCTCAGTTGTGGGTTTGATCCCCAGCCCTGGTTGGGGTCGTGTGGTAGGCCACCAATCGATGTGTCTCTCTCCCTTCCTCCCACTGTATCTAAAAAAAAAAAAATCAATGGAAAAATATCCTCAGGTGAAGATTTAAAAAAATGAGATTCTGCTTCTGTGAAGCTATTTGAGATTTGGCTTTGTGGAAGGCTTCTTTGAGAAAATGATATTTGAGCAGAATGAAAGGTGCAACTTTTGCCATATGGCAGAAAGTGTGCCAGGTAGAGGAAAGGGTAAAGTAGAAATGAGCAAGACAAGTTCAAAAAACAGAAGAAGCCCTGGCCAGATAGCTCAGTTAGTTAGAGCCTTGTCCTGATATACCAATGATGCAGGATCAATCCTTAGTCAGGGCACATACAATAATCAATCAGTGAATGCATAAATAAATGGAACAACGTATCAATGTTTCTCTCTCCCCCCTCCTCACATCCTCTCTCTCTCTAAAATCAATAAATTAGCCCTGGCCAGTTTGGCTCAGCGGTTAGAGCGTCGGCCTGCGGTCCGGAGAGACCCGGGTTCGGTTCCCGCTGAGGGCACGTACTTCGGTTGCAGTTTGTCCCTGGCCCTGGTTGGTCGTGCGGGTGGCAGCCACTCGATGTGTCCCTTCACATCGATGTTTCTCTCTCTCTCTCCCTTCTTCTCTCTCCCTCCCGCTCTATCTGTACAAAAAATGGAAAACTATCCTCGGGTGAGGATAAAAAAAAAAAAAAAAATTAAAATCAATAAATTAAAAAAAACAAAAAAATGAGACAAGACTACTGTGGCTACAGAGAACTAAACAAGCCCTGGCTGGTTCAGGTCAGCGGCTAGAGCATCAGCCCACGCACCAAAAAGTCGCAGGTTTGATTCCGGTCAAGGGCACGTACCTGGGTTGCAGTTTGATCCCTGGCCCTGGTTGGGGTTGTGCAGCAGGCAACCAATCGATGTGTCTGTCTCATATCAATGTTTCTCTTTCTCCCTCTCCCTCCCTCTCATTCTATTTGAAAATCAATGGAAAAATATCCTCAGGTGAGGATTAGAAAAGAGAGAGAGAGAGAGAACTGAACAAGGGCACAAGTGGTAGAAGATGAAGGCAGAAAAGGGAGAAGACACCAGATTTTGAAGGGTACTGAGCACCTTGGTAAGGAAAAGTTTGGATTTTATTCTTAATGTGGTAAAAAGTCATCATAAGGTTTTAAAACACAGATATGTCATAATCTGATCCGGTTTTAAAGACTGGCTGCTGCATAGAAAACAGACTATGGGAGGGCAAGAATGTTGGCAGCAGGAGCCAATTAAAAAGCTACTAAGGCAGCCTGGTTTGAGATGATACTGGCTTAGACCAAGATGCTAACAAAGCAAGAGGATGAGACATGGTTGGACTCAGACTATACTGTGAAGATGGAACCATGAGAATAGTGATACCTTAGTAGTGGGGTATGATGACAAGATAATGGAAAAGGATGACTATGTGTCTTGCTTTGAGCTACTGAGTGAACGAAGTTGCTCTTTACTGAGATGAAAAATATGTAAGAGTAGGTTTGAGGGAAAGAAGGGAAAGAGACTCAGAATTCTATGTGGGATAAGAAATGCGTATTTGGAAAAAGCACTCAGGTGATCTGGATACACACCTTTCCTCTGCAAAAACCATCAAGTTGAGAACCAACTAGTTACTGAAACAGACTCTCCTACAGGGGAGTATTAAAAGTAAGATGAGAACATGACAGATTACTCAACTTCTATACAAAGGGAAGGGGAGAATCTTTACCTAGAGAGATGACAGTCTCATAGTTTTCCTGTATTACGTCATTGTAAAGGGCCTTCTGACTGGGATCCAGTAACTCCCATTCTTCTTGGGAAAAATACACAGCCACTTCTTCAAATTTCAATAAACTCTAAGAAAGAGAATGGGCTTCAGCTCATTACCTGGCACTGCAGAAGCAGCCCTAACAACTGGCCCATGAACTTAATAGTGGGCCAGGCACTGAAGGAATTAATAGCACATTTTTTTTTTTTTTCAAGTGAGAGGCAGAAAGGAAGGAGGCAAGGGATCAGCAAACAGTCTGAGAGGTGTCCAGTTCTACAGGGAGAATATCTGGGCTAACATGCTTCTGAGCACCTGCTGGGCAGTGTGGGTCATGGGCAGCAGGGAAAGGCAGCCCTAAACAGCTTGAAAGCACAGCTCACCTGGGACTCAGGCAAGATGAGCTCAGGTACCACTGTCCAGTCTTTGGTGTTTGTCTGCTCAGGAAAGTCTAGGATCTGGTGAGCAGGCACAGCTGTGGGTGGAAAAGAGCCTTAGGAAATTTCTCTTGCTTCCATGAACATCCTGAGCACATTTCTAAAGTATACAAGATCCTGATTCTTTTAGTAGAGGTGGGACTCCTTTATAAGTGTTATGTGGTACCTAGAAGTGGTCATCAGTCCCTACAACCAGTTCCCAAATTGACTGTCCTCAGTTTTCATGAGTGAAGTCAGTAAGAGGAAATCTCATTTTTTCCTTACATGACATAAATTATTCTGAGTTGGGCAAAAATTAGAGGTGTCTGAATAAACGGGAGAGTCCAGTGTCGGTAAAGGAAGTAGGAAGGTAAAAATGAGCATAGTAAGTTCAAGAAACAGCAAGAAGACCAATGAGGCTAAAGAGGATGGAGCCAGGGTACAAGTGGCAGGGAGGTTGAGTAGGGGCCAGATCTTGAAGTGGCCTACATGCCTCATAAGGAGTTTAGATTTTATTCTAAATGTGAAAAGTGACCATAAGGTTTTGAAGCAGAGAACTGTCATGATCTCATGAGGTTTTTTGAAGACTCTTGACTGCTTTGTGGAAAATAGACTATGGGAGGGTAAGAGAGGTAGCCGGGGAACCAGTTACAAAGCTGGTTAGAGAAGCCACTGGCTAAGACCAGAATGCCAACACAACAAGAGAATAAGACCTGATTGGACTCAGACTAGGTATGATGTAAAGGTGGAGCCAAGAGAACGAGTGATGCATTAGTAGTGAGGTATGATGGCAAGATCAGACTAAAGGATGAACCAGGTATTCCGGACTGAAATATGGGGTAAATGGTGGTGCCATTTATGGGAACGGAAAGATAAAAGAGCAGATTTGTAGGAAAGAGTGGAAAGTAGGGGAGAGTGGAGAATTTTAGGATAAGGAATGAGCATATACACTTAGTAAAAGTTTGAGATCATCTGAACGTACCTTTCCCCTGCCTATACCAAGTTGAGAACCAACTAGCTCTTGGAACAGACTCTCTCACCAGGGTGCTTTCCCAGTAAACTAAGAATATTGCAGATTACTCAACTTCTACACAAAAGGAAGAAGGAATATTTACCTAGAGAGATGACAGTTTCGTAGTTTTCCTGCATTACATCATTGTAGAGTGTCTTCTGACTGGGATCCAGTAACTCCCATTCTTCCTGGGAAAAATATACGGCCACTTCTTCAAATTTCAATAAGCTCTAAAGAAAAGAATGGGCTTCAGCTCAGTATCTGCCGCTGCAGAAGCAGCCCTAACATCCAGCCATAAACTGCATGGTAGGCCAGGCACTGACGGAATTAACAGCACATTATTTTTTTAAACTAAGAAGGCAGAAAGGAAGGAAGCAAGGGATCAGCAAACAGTCTGGGAGGTGTCCAGTTCTACAGGGAGAATATCTGGGTTAACATGCTTCTGAGCACCTGCTGGGCGGTACAGGTCATGGGCAGCAGGGAAAGGCAGCCCTAAACAGCTTGAAAGCACAGCTCACCTGGGACTCAGGCAAGATGAGCTGAGGTGCCACTGTCCAGTCTTTGGTGTTTGTCTGCTCAGGAAAGTCTAGGATCTGGTGAGCAGGGACAGCTGTGGGTGGAAGAGAACCATAGAAAATTTCTCACTTCTGTGTACATCCTGAACTCATTTCTTAAATAAAGAAAATCTTGATTATTTTAGTAGATGGGAAACCAAGTGCGAAGTGGCCTTATCAATGTTAATAAGAACCAAGAATCTATCAATTCCCAGAACAGGTTATCCAGTTTTCATAAGCAAAATTAATAAAACAAAAACCTTATTTTCCTTTCATGATTTAGTTCCCAGTTAAGAAAAATTTAACGGACTTGAAAATGAAATACGGACTCCAGTGTACAGAAGATGTATTATCTATCATTTATTTATTTTCCTGGTACACAACTGTGTTCACATACTGCCACTGACAGCCCATCAGTGATCCCAATTCCTTCTGTGTTTTGAGGATGGGGTAGCCCAAACCTTTACACTTTTCTAAGGAACAGTGTTCATGGTATTATTACCAGGGTCCTCTAGTTTGGACATTTCTGTACCTTAGGCCAATCCCCACCTTCACATACACCTGGTCTATTCTAACGCCACCTGTGGGGAGTGGGAGGTGTGGGCGGTAATCATAATTGCTAACATGGTGCATTTGCACATCCACAGAGCTGGGCACCCAGAAAATGCTCACAATGTTCTGGCTGAACAAATTACTATCACAGTTCCCAGCAGAAAGAAATTATCACGCAGTTCCTTACCCCTCTTACACATAGGCTCTGTTTCTTTATGAGTATTCCTGCTCAGTTGTTGTTGTAGATCCTGATATTCATTCCAAAAGTCTTCATCCTGGGACCTGCCCACTGGCTGGGACTTTGCTGGCTTCAGCTTGAAGCCTGGGGTCTCTGCTGTTTCTCCCAAGAGTACTGTGTCCTTTCCCAGCACAGGGACTGCAACCTATAAATAATTTCCACCCTTGTTACCAGAACTTACTTTAGGCATGGGGGCTGCTAGTAGAGGGAGGAAAAAGCGTAGAGTCCAGATTGTGGAAGGAGTGAGACACTAAACAAAATTACTTTACAAAAATACTTAAAAAGATAATTTAGGGGCATCAATGTTCCGCAAAGAACTAGCCACAAAATCTGGGAAATTTAGGATAAAAGGAAGAAAGATGTGGCTACTGCCACCCCTCTGCATACAGCCCAGCTTAGACCACTAGCAGGGTAGTGTAGGCCACCTGTTCTCATGCTGTCTTGACAATATTTCTCTCTTCACTTAGATCCCTGCTGCAGTGATTTCTTATCTTATACTTTTCTCAAAAGATTAAAAAATTTAACTGTCCTGTCAACTAGATTTTCTCCATGGGTAGGAAAGGTTTTTACAGGAAATGTGGATAAAATGGAGGAGGAGGAATGATTCTGGCTCCAACCTCCTTCCAGATGATTTCGATACCAAACATATGCCCCTGCCGTGTTTCTTGACAGTAGGCTTGAAGCCAATTGATGTGCTGCCACCTGCCCAAGGGCATACCCTGGACTGAAGCAAGTAGAGCCAAGGACCAACCACTTAGGGAGGGCAGTGGAGGCTCTTGCTTATGGTGTGAAGAACACAATCTCTCAGTGTCTTTCTTCTCTCAGCCACGCTTTTGGGACTTCTAAATCTGTTTCCCTTTTTTTGTGTCTCCTCTAGTCTTCCCTACTGTTTTTTTTTTGGCTTTCTCTTTACTATCCTCTCTACTTTCATCTCTGTATGTTCTCCCTTTTTTGGATCTGCCCCATCCTTTCCAACTCCTATTGCCCTTTGTTTCTTAGAACATAAGACACATCTCCTAGGGCAAGCCAGACTAGGCTTATTACTCTCAATTCATCCTGGCTCCAAAGAGGGAAAAATGCAATTTTCTCTATGGCCAGGGAAGTCTCTGCTAGAATCTCTAAAACCTGTGGAATGACTATTGCTGTACGTCTGTGGTTTCAAGTCTTGCCTTAGATGGCCTAAAGCAACAGGAGATCATCAATCCAATTCATCCCATTTCTCTATTAACTGCCCCCAACCCCATATATCCACTTTCATTCCATGTCATTTTATGTATCAGGAATCTTTCTTCTCACCCCATTCTTCGTTTGACCAGATTCACTCTGCAAGTGGTCTACCAAGGCCACAGCCTCCTCAGTGCTCTGGAGATGGTGCTTCTTTATCTGGGTCTGAGTATCCCTGGGCAGAATGGTCAGAAACTGTTCTAGCACCAGCAGATCCAAGATCTGTTCTTTTGAGTGTATGTCTGGCCTCAGCCACTGACGGCATAATTCCTGAAGTTGGCCAACGGCCACGCGGGGTCCAGCTGCTTCTTGATAGTGGAAACTTCGGAAGTGTTGGCGAGAGCTCTCGGGACTGAGACTGTCTGTTTGTGCAGTATATTTCTTATTCTGAGTGGAGCTCTCTGTCACAGGTCCCTTGGTCTCCCACAGAGCCCTGATATGAGGGTTCAAATACTCAGCCACCTTCAGATCTACCATCATCATTCTGCCTGGAACAGTTGCTCCTGTGTTGGGCACAACACCCGTACCACCTTTGACAAACTGAGGCCCAATCTGGTCTGGAATAAAATCAGTAAAAGGATCTTCTTCCTAAGGCACCGAGGGCAGAAAAAAAGTGCGGGTCAATAATAAAGTCACATGAATTTTGCTACTTATTATGAGAGAAAAATTCTCTTTAAAATCAACTACCAGGCCCTTTGTTTCTCTCCTTTTCTTTACATTATTCAGTTGATTTATAGCACAGCTCATTGAAGACAAATGTCAATTGATGACTTTACCTTTACAAGAAAATAATACATCAGGAAAAGTTGGTGGGTGAGAAAATTGGCACCCACTGGCTCCAAAGAGTTTGGGGATTATTCAAAGAGTTCGTTGATGTGCTTTCTACTGAATCTTCCCCATGTCAAAGATTAGGAGAACACTGAGCTTCTTTTAAATTTTAATATTATCACCCTAGTCTTCTACTTTTAAGAAAAGGGCACAACCTCTATGACCCTTCAATCTCTTGTGATAATGGAAGCCTTCTCTTCGTGGAACATTTGAGACTCTCCTTTACTTGCATGAATACTGGCAAGAGAGCTGAAGCAGTGAAACCAGAGTAGAAGGAAAGTAATTAGGGGAAAAGTAGCCTTTTCTGTTCAAAAAGAATTCCCCAATTAAGTAACTAGATGCTCAACATTCTTCTTTGCAAGATGTATGAAGGGCACTACACAGATTTATACTGTATTTTTAAATTTCTGTTTACTTTAACTAGGAAAAGTCACAGACGACCTTCCTTTACAAAATGTCCAAAAACCAAGTTGTAAAAAGGCAAGTTGGAGAAAGGCAATTGGTGATGATTAAGTTGACCCTTCTCCTGACTACGTTTCAAGGGCCTTTTAGACTTCTAAGAGAGGCTATGAAGAGCCTTGTGGGCCCACTCTCCCTGAAGTGATGCAGCAGAACCGACACTGAGATTCTTTCCAGGAAGCTACGGTATTCACAAACGGCGGGCTCCTTGCTGCCCACCCCGGCTGGAGAACTTCTGCATCACAAGAAAGTGATCTCTAAGACGCCAAACTGCGGTTCTCCGTCGGGTAACGTCAGCAGCCGCCGCCGCCGCCCGCCCCCCCGCCCCCTCCAAACAAGCCAGCGGAGGCGGGAACGTGGACATTTCCGGAGGGCAGTCGGGCTTCGAGGGCACTTTTGTAAGCGAGTAGTGTAGAAGCGTCCCCAGCCGCAGGCTCCGGAGGTATCTGCGCAAAGGGCAGGAAGAGTGGCCTCCGGAGCCTGACCGCCAGCCTCGCCGGAGACAGTCTGGCCGCAGGCTCTGGCCGCTCGGCCACGAGAAATGGCGCCTCGCCTCCAAACACCTTGCAGCAGCCTCGAGCACTGGCCGGCAGGTCTCCGGGGCTCCGCAGTCGACGACGAAAGAGAACCGATTCTTGGTTACCTCAGACAGCTGGGCTTCGTGGTGGCCGCTCCCTCATTCTCCGGCTCAACCGCAATTCGCACTTCCGGCTGCCGCGCAAGGGCCACAACTCTCGGCCGCTGGACACTGTTCACAGACCTGAGATAGGCGGAATCTAAGGCGCAGGTCCCACCAGGCCTACTGGACGCCTCGCCCACCTAGGGCCTTTTCTAGGCTGCAGTCTGAAACCCGCGCTGCAACCGGAAGTGGAAGTGGAGCACTTCCCGGCTGGCTTTGCAGCCCAGCTGCGTCTGCCTGCGCCGCGGTTCTTGGCTCCGCGGAAGGAACCAGCCTCCGGACTGGTTCAACAGTGGCGCCCGGAAGAATATATGCCACAGAGTCTCCAGGTTGCGGAGCCTAGAAGGGCCCTGCACGCGGCTCAAACCGTAGTGTCGCCGTCTCGTGGCCTGGCTCTGTGAGGCGTTACGCGTCCGGGTGATTTCTGCTTAGCCTACGGGCGGCTGGTTGCCAGGTATTCGGGAGTCCTGCCCAGTTAAGGTCTTCGCCGTCAGTGCCCTTGGCCGGCCTGGCCCCGCCGGTCATGCCCGAGTTTTCGTCCCAGGCTCATTTTTACCTCCTCAAGGAGGAGGCCTTTTTGTTCCGTTCAGGATCAACGGCACTGAGGGGGCAATACCCTATTTTGGGCTGTGCGTCTCACAACAATTGTTTTTTTCGTGTGAGATATATGAAATAGGTTACATTTATAGTTCTCTGTGACAGAGAAATCGAGAGCTAAGAGCTGACTTGTCAGGGTCACATAACTTACCATCGGCAGCTCCTAGACTGTAATTTAGGTCCTTTTTCACTACAGCATGCTTCCTGAAGAATGGGAACCTTCTTTTCATCTCGTGTTACCTGCAGTGTTTGGCCAAATTACCTGAGTAAGATGAGCATTCCACATCCTACTGAATCATATTTAAAGGAACCTGTGTATTTCGGTTTGTGTTCTAATTACTAGTGTCTTCAGTGTCAGCCTCTACCAGTCAAGGAATTATTTAGTCTAATAGGTGTAGCCAGTGTTAATAGAACAGTGTCTTTGAATCAAGGAATCTGGCAGGACTCAGGCAATTTCATGAATATCAATAACACAGGGTAGGAAAAGGGAGGACATAAGCTGAAGGCTACAGAAATTCCAAGAAAATGGAAGTTGACCTTTGGTTGCGGAAAATTATAAAAGACTATACGGGATGGGAGTGAGCAGAGGTTAAGGCAGCGATTTTCAGCCAGTGCACTGCAAGAATTTTTAAACATGCAGTACCTGACTATTTAATCAGGGATACTGACCTCTTTTCCCTTAGATTGTCAAATTTTAAAATGACAACAGCCAGCACCACAATAGCTGTTCGGCGTAAATGAATCAAAATTATACCTTTTTTGTCAGATTAGCAAAAAAATATAATACAATTTTTGGTGTGATGCAGAATTTTAGTAAATAAGTGTACCGCGAGATGAAAAAAGTTGAAAATCACTGGGGTGAGGTAAAAGCATAGCCTTGAAAAGCTGGAGAGATTAGAGTGTAGAATCTTTAGTATTTTTACTAAATGTAACTTGGCTACATTTAGGGAAAGAAAGTTAGAAAATAAGTTTATGTAGATCTGTTTGCTTTGAATGGGAGTGAAGAGAATGCATTTAATGGAGTGTGTACCCGAGCATTATTTGAAGGTTTTTGAGGGAGCTTCTTTCCAGGGCAGTTCATCTGGAGATAAGTTTAAAGTGGGAATGAAAATGAGAGACCATTAACAGGGCCATTACACTACTTTTGCTTTTAGGTAGAATGGTGTTACATTCCTGAGGCACAGATCATGATCCTTTTTGAGTGAGAAAAGGATTAAACAGAGGCAATAATTATAGGCATCTGCCTGTCACTTGCATATGTTTCAAAGCATTTTCAGTTCCTTAGAATCTATCAAGTTGGGACTATCAAGTTTCTTTATTTTTTTATCCTCATCCAAGGACACTTTTGCATTTATCTTCATATAGAGCGGGAGGGAGAAAGGGAGGAAGAGAGAGAGATAAACATCGATGTGAGAGAGACACATTGGATGCCACCCACACAACCCCTACCGGGCTGGAGACAAACTGCAACCGAGTTACGTGCCCTTGGCGGGAACTGAACCCGGGACTCTCTGGTCCACAGGCCAACGATCTAATTGCTGAACCATACCAGCCAGGGTTGGACTTAGTTTCTTTAAAAGTCATTATTGTTTCCAGTCTCAGAACCAGAACCAGTGAAGAGTGATGTTCTTAGCATTGAGATCCTCCTCAGCTGGCCCAAAGCTGAGCATATGACTGGAACGTATTGAATAAATGAAGTTCTGCTAGCAATGCCTTTGGATTTCATTGGCAGGCCTGATTCATAGCTTGGGTAGGGAGTTAGGGAAGATGGAGAGAAGGAAGTGGGAGAAGAGGCCCTGTGAAAGAAAAAGCAGCAGCAAGGCACAAAATGGTGAAGTGCCCTGGCTAGTTTAGCTTAGCTGTTAGAGCGATGGCAGCAGACCAGAGTCACAGGTTCAATTCCGGGTCAAGGGCATATTACCCAGGTTTTCGGTTTGATCCTCAGCTCAGGTCCGGGTTGTGCGGGAGACAACCAATCGATGTGTCTCTCTCACATCAATGTTTCTCTCTCTCTCTCCCTCCTTCCACTCTCTCTGGAAATCAATGGAAAAATATCCTCGGGTGAGGATTAACCAAAACATACAAACAAAAAAGGTGAACAGTGAATGAGGACGACTAATGATTTTCATTGGTTGAATTTGATGCCCTAGTTGCTTATTTTTGCTGTGGAACCCGTAAAAGTTCCTTGAATCTTTCCTTTCGCTTTCACCTTCTCCTGCCTGAACATGTTTTGAGAAATGATGAATGCACAGGCGGGAAGTAATGAAAGTAAATACACAGAATTTACTTTGAGATGCTACACAACTACTAGAGCAGGCTGAGTTTTTTTGTTGTTGTTGCTGTTAATCTTCACCCAAGGATATTTTTCCATTGATTTTTAGATAGAGTGGAAGGGAGGGAGGGATAGAGAGAGAAACATCAATGTGAAAGAGACATATCAAAAAAAGAGAGAGAGAGAGAGACATCAATTGGTTGCCTTCCGAATGACCCCAACCAGGGCAGTGGATTGAATCTGCATCCCAGGTACATGCCCTTGACTGGGAATTGAACCAGTGACCTTCCAGTCTGCAGGCCAACGCTCTCACTGCTGAGCCAAACTGGCCAGGGCCAGGCTGAGTGTTTTTGCTGGGTGACTGGCTGGAGTTAATATTGCTACTATTGGCTGACAAACATATTCTTTTTATTTTCCATTTCTAATAGTTATTCATTATTAATTAGTACTACCTTAGTTATAGCTGCCTCTTTTACAAGGTTGCTTGATCTTAGCCTTTCACAGCCTCCACACCATATTAACTATGATATCCTTTCTTGATCTTAGTGCTTCATAAACCAGTTAGCACTTCTTGAAACACATGTTAGAGGAAAACTAACAGTTAGGCTCTTCTGGGATCCTAGATTAGAGGCGTATGAGAATTCTACGTAGTTGAGGAATGAC